ATACTGGGGATGAGATGGCTGGCTGGAAAGAATTAGCAACAAGTCACTCTGGGAACGAACTAATCATAACCTATTGGTCACCAAATATGCTGAAGGAGATGGAGATGGATTGGGCCTGCGCTGAGGATACTGTTGTGTGACTTCACAACTGATATGAATATGAACAATAAATTTTGTTCGGAACTTCATCCAGTAAATAATACTGTTTCACTGTGTGATATATCTAATAGACAACCTTATATGGTTTATAGCTTCTTTATTTTTTACTTACTATAGTAAATGTAAGCTTTCAGGAGCTCAATAAGTCTTAAATTGCAAAGTTTGTGTCTGTTTGTTGTCATGACTATTGTTGTTGATATTAATGACGACATAGATGAACTTAACGTTATCCCTTTTATTAATTCAAGTGAAAGAGGATCAAAAATCCCGTTTTTTGAGAAATTATCATAGTTTACATCTAATCTCTACACGATTGTGTCAGAATGGTATTGTTAGGCAATAAAGGAATGGTGAAAATTAACAATAAATCATTGTGCAAATAAGAAACTTTGTATAAAATGCTGAATCATGATTACTGGATCAACTCCATCTACTTATTCTTACTCCAATACACACACTTGTTTTCCATCTCGTCGACTGACTAGTTGTCTAGTTCATCCTTTTGTATTTTATCCATTTGTAATAACAATACGAAGTTATGACCTCTATCTTGTGAAGCAAAGATACATGCATGTGTGTATGTGTGTGTGAGTGCGTATGCACTGAAGGTGTTCTTTAAGAGGCTACATTAGTTCAACTGATTATGCTGGTATTAGCATAACCTCACAAAATTTCCATCATAATGTGATAACAAAAAACATGAGTGAATTTGTTACTTATATATGTTGATTACAAAGTTGTCTCTTCTCCCTCTCTCTCTCTTGCTCTTGTACGTAAACCTGTTTTCTCCCTGTTGTTATTGTCGTATTGATGGTAGTAGTTTATCCTGACATTAGGTAACATTATGGATTACTGATTTTTTTCATTTTTCTAGTAGAAAGCTGGCGCAGCAACAGAATTAGCTGATTGACAATAAATTAATCTAACTATTTAATCAATGTAGTAACATACATTCCAGACACGTGCTTGCATGCACATACATATTACTGAGAAGGCCAGTATGTATATTCTTGTCTTTGTGATTGTTTAATTGTGCCAGTATGCAGGCAAGAACATCTACCGTCTCTACACCACCTTTATCTATGTCAGTTTATTTACTTATTCAAAACAAAATGTTAATTAATTAATAATTTATTGAAAGGCATACAGCAGTTACCATTCACCGACACACATCTACCTGTAGCTATTGTTTATCAGTTGAGTTTATTGTTGCTTTTCATTTGCTTTCAACTATTCCTCTCACAATAGTGAATTTTGCTTGTTATTCTCTCTCTCTCACACACACATACACACATCCAACTGAGTGATTTCCTTCAGGTCGATGTGATGTCTTTAAAAAAAAAGGGAATAATAGGAACAAAATAATTGTTCTTTAGGTAAAAGTTTCACGACGTTAACAAGCTAACTAGAGAGATTCCATCGGCTGATGAGTCATCGGAATGCGCGTTATGCATTATATATTTATATTTAACTTATTCTCTTTAGTTTGTTAAAAAGGTATTTGTAGAAGTAAGACACAGAAAGGAAACTGATTCGATGAAAATCAGGAGACTTAGACAACAATTGGAAGTTGTAACTGGATCATATAAATTTCTGACTCTTCAAGTTCTAAGGTTATTAACTCAACTCTAATCTTCAAAAGAAAGGTTACTGAATAAAGAATACTCTTTTCGATAACGCCTTCTTCATCAGGTTCTACTGTTATATTAGTGAATGAATTAGTGTTATTCACAACATTAATGTTATTTGAATAACATCGAGTCAATAGTATCAATAGATGGTAGCATGAAGAGAAATTTGCATAGGAAAAGCACATGAACAGGACAATATAAACATTTTCATAGCTTCGTTCCTCTATACGCTAAATGCTCAAAAGATGTAACTGAAGATGAACTAAGGATTGTATATGATACCTTGATTGAAAATAGCTATCCAGACAAATTTATCAAGAAATACATGACAAAGAAAGCGGAAAAGGACTACTCATTATTCGTAAACAAGAAGCTTTTATATATACGACTGCAATTAAAAGGCGATATACCAAGCGAGATAATTACGAAGAAATTAAGAAAATCAGTTCAAAGAACTCTTAATGCTGGCAAACTATAAGTTTTATTTTCAACACGACGGCGGTGATTCCTCGACTGAAAGATGAAGTACCAAGACTAGCCACTTCAAATTGTATCTACCAATTTAACTGCGCTTGTGGAGCGAGTAATATTGTCTGTTGCTCTAGGAACTTGATTTTTCGTGCTCGACAACATCTCCCACTATGGCTAAGTAAAGGTGTAGTAAAAACCATCAACGGTTCGATATTAAACCATCTGGTCCAAACCGGCCACAAAGTCAGCCAGCACTGAAGAATCCTTCTCTATCATCTACCAGGTACCAAATAAATTGCCAAAAACATACAGGTAACGCATACTCCAAACAGCAGAGGCTATCGCGATTCGCCTTAAATAACCAGCGCTTTGTGTGCGAAGGAAGCAAATCCAGCCACTTCTACTGCACTGGCCTTCAGTAGAGACTACAAATTATTGTATTATTTTCTTTCCTAAATTCTCTGACATTCAGTATATTGTTATGTTGATGCTATTGAAGTGTAATCTATTGATATTATTGATTCGATGTTATTTAAACAATGCTGTTAATAACACTAATTTATTCACTATTATGTATATATAACTGTAGAACCTGATGAAGAAGAAGAACATTCTTTGTTCAGTAACCATTCAACTGTGATCATTTAGTCTACTTCTACAATATTTCATTCAACTAATTAGCTAATAAATGATACTGATAATTAGAGGTTAATTTGGTAGATAGTGGCTAGCAGTGTAATCAAGGATAACGTGCATTTCTTCCTGTTTGGGACTCGTCATCCGGATGTACCTGCATTCTGCAGTGAGTGATAATGCTCCCAATGAGGCTCGAACCCAGTGCCCATAGTTTCAAACGTCAAAGCGTTATACACTAGACCATTTGGGCCACGACAGCCACCTCTTGTGCATCGGGTCATATTAATTATTTAATTGAATTTTAGATTTTCCCGTCGATTGATTGGACCGAAGTGCTCGGTCTCAGGTTGACACGTCGGCTTCTTTTGAATGTGTACGACGGATCAATTTTTTTTTAAATGTATTACTAATTGGTGCCCAGAAACGATTTCGGACAAAGATAACAACGGGTCACAGGTAATAATGATGCATGAAATATTATCAGAATTCGAATTTATGATTGTATGCAAATACTCAATACAAACACACTCATAGACTGGTATTAATTTATTTCCCTGTTCTACATACAAAGTCTTTAAAAGAGTAGAAATACACTTAATTCCCAAAAATCCACGTAACAGTGTGAGAATGTTCTTCAGTTCTTCTAATTTAGACTAATACATTGTAATGTGTATGAAATTCCTTGGGATATAAAGCACACGCAAAATTGATACCCTAAAGGTTGTGTCTAGTATTTATTGTCTTTTTACCAATAATATTATAGACGAAGTTTGCTTGTATATTCGTCACTTCAATCAATAATATTAACTTAAAAGCTGAAAAGCTTTGATCACGATCGACGTGATTACCGTTGCATTCACCTTCCTTAAAAAAAGGCCAGCAACTAATGTGGTAACAGCCCAACACTTTTCCAGATAGTCTTACAATCAAAATCAGCAACTTGCTCTCCTCCTTCTATTTTTCAGTATGATTTAAACTGACAGGAGACTGAGCTGTCTAGCCAGTGCAATGAATAAGGGATATATATATATATATATATATATATATAATTCATTCACATTGCAGGTAGGCACTAACTACGCTGACGACTGCAGTGACATGAGGATGTGGTTAGCAGCTGCATTTAGTAGTTCAGTTGTTAGGAAACTGTCAAACTAATAATTCAAAAGCGACCGGTTTGATTCATGTAACCTTCAATCATTACACCCATTACATAAACAGTAACCTGTTAGTCCAAGACTATCCCAGATAGTCCTAACAACTACTAACTAAGTCGTCACCAATAGATCTCCACTACCCAGTGTTTTGATTGGCTCATTTCCAATAGTGAACATTAAGTTTGCTAGTTATTATTCTATTTTATAATTGAGTGACTGACACTCAGTGTTGTTATAAATTTTAAAAGGAAATAATGATAAATGTTATTGATTTAATAAATAAACATAACAAATCACTGAGACTATTTACAGATTTGAAAAAACAAAGAAATTAACAAAAATAATGTGTATATTTCTCCTTTTATGGTATTCTTCTGGTCATTTTCGTTATTGTATTTACTCCTTCAGTCTGATGTTTACTCTCAAAGGAATAGAAAGATATAGTGGAATAGAGAGGAAGAAGGATACACGGTTAAAATGGGATTACAAGTGAATATATGTAAATATTTACAATCGAAATTCCGTCGCACCCTTGTGTCTTTCTCTCTATTTCCGACTTAGATCCACAATTTTTCACTATTACAACTTATAAAATAAATAAAATAAAGGTAATATTAGTTAATTACATTTCTTTGTTGTCTCTTAAGAAAAGCGACTGATAGTGTGATACATTGCTGTTGAATTATATGATATAGTATGAGAATGAAAAATAAAAGAAAATAAAAAGTAAAGTAAGGAAGGAAAATTAAGAAATTAGCATTCACTATGCATTTCTGTCTACATATACACACACAGGCACTAGTGACAGGTTAGGGTTAGTTATAAAAACAAAAAGAGTAGACATCGATAATGATGACGATAGTGATGATGATGAAGATAATGCTGGTGATAGGGTTATGGTGATATGTACAACACGCAGTTGGCAAGATGGTTTATCTGTTTATCTCTATAAATACACCATTCGATGATCTGCTTTGGACAGTTTTCCCACTGAATTTGTATAGATTGCTGATATAGGAGAACGAATCATAGCTGAAGCTTGACTACGTACAGCAGTATGTGTGGGTGTTCGACGTACACGGAAGTCAAGTGTTGGACCATGTAAAGCCTAGAGATTAAGATGAAAAAATAATGGGGAATTAGAAAATTTGATGCAAAAAAGCAACTAAAATTTAATATGAATAACACAATCAACATTCTTGCTGATTTCATTACCATCAATGAACTACTCTCTAATGGTAATAGCTGAAACCGTTTGTTATAAATATACTCGCGACAACAATAAAGACATCTATGCTTCATAACGCTAATAGAGTTTAATGTGCTTGACGCATAAATCTATAGTTGTTGTATAAAACATCTTAGACCTACTTGGCAATCTAACCTTCATTATCTCAGATACAGTTTTGCTGGGGATTAACAGTAGAATACTGGAAGTGTACCTCGACTTATTTAGGACCCATCATCTGAATAAACCATTATACCCCTTATTTTCTAAAGCATTAGACAACTAATTTCAGTTGGGTTTTCTTTAAAAACCAAATACTAAATATACATTTCGCGTGAGTCGTACTGTCCATTCACCACACTAAGCACACATGAATGTTTTATTGTTGACAAGAAATACGTCGGTGGAACAGCGGTTATGACTCTCGCCGATCATACACGTGGTCCGGGGTTCGATCCCCTGCCAACGCACACCTGATATCTATCGTCGGCCTGCGAGATTTGGGCTACCTATATCTCATGCTGAAAATTCCATACCTGTACCAAAAAATACGGTGTGAAATCAAGCTGTAATCAAAAATTTAAAAAATCACTTACATTTTTAACAACTGGTGTAACACAATCACTGGAACTAGTGCTAGGTGAATTCGCTCTAGGTTTTTTAGCGAGGAATGCAGCGGTTAAATTTACCTATAGAGAAAATTACAAAAGAAAAGAAGAAATTAATAAATATTACCATTTAATATATTATTTTTAAAAATCTGAAATGTTGTCAAAATTGTTTCTTCATTGCAATCATTCAACGATCTTAGATACTAAACTTCTGCTTCCTGTATAGAGACACAGTCAACCGTCATCGCTCTCAGATTGGTCGACAAATCGATGTGAAAATTTGTAGACAAGACACGCTAGTTCACACAGCTATACTTCAAGCGAACATCACTAAGCACTACCATCGATAAAAATGAGTGTTTGAAGGAGATGAAGTATTCAAACAAAGATTTATGATTCAAGGTTTTAGAACTACCTTTTTTGAACTGAGTGGGCTTTTTACAGTCGCTAATATTAGACGTAATCTGTCCAACAGGAAATTTTAATTCAATTACACATTAATACCAAACATAAACCATCATTATTTCAGCGGGACAGAGAGAGAAAAAACCTTTGCAATACAATTTCACCACCAGAAACTCCTAACAATCAAGATACATTTTGAGGAGTACTAGTTCATTTTTATAGCGGTTTTTCTATCATAGGAACTTTTTTTGCTTTCAGTAAATTACATAGGGTGTCAATTTCCTCTTTTGTTGCTAAGCCAGTTTCAATAAATACACACACACACACACAAAAGATCACATATATATATTGATTTACTCACCCTAGGACTGTTTGGCTTTGTGTTCATTGTTGAATTGTCTGATTTTGACACGGATGATTCATTCAGCTTTTTGCCTTGTGAACGTGGACTTGGTGTCATAGTAACACAGTACTTAAGACTACAACACAAAGCAGGACTGTTTGATGTCTAGATTGAATGGATGAAAGGGAGGAGATGAAAAAAAAAAATGAAGGTTAAATGTCGATGTTACATAACTTAGTGAGCATCATTAGTAACAATAACTTCAGTAATAACAGCGGTAATAAAAATAAGAAAAATCATACTAACTGAAATTTCCTAAGCGTATAAGACAATACAGAGACTCCCTGTGACATATCTGTCTGGTGCCGTGTGAAACAAGATATTCCCTGAGGTACGCAAGAACGAACAAATAGTAAGAATAAAATGAAATATATTTTCGGTTAATCGATTATCAAATATCGTCCTTTCTCCTTCTCTTACACATTCCAATGAATGACTGGTTTTGATTAATGTCATGAGGCAGTATTAATTCATATCTTAGTTGTGTATTCAGTTAGATAAATTATTTATCTGAAGGGTAATTAGTATCCTTTAAACCATTCATTTGTTGCCTTAAGTTTTCATGCCTTTTAAGGTACATCGAAACACGTGTAAAAGAATCAGCTTTGTCAAAGGTCATTTCAACCGAAGTGATAACTCATTTGCATAGACGTCTCTTGTTAGATGATATTAACAGTAGAAAAAAGGACATTAGTCTGAATGCGACTACTGAGATAGTTATGATCAAGCAGATGGACGATAGATGCATGAATAGATTCTGAACAGGTAATTTTGATAGCTGTCTCCGTTTTGTTATGGTACTATAATTTATTCGGAAATGAGTAGATATTCAGACCTATAGACAAACAATGACACACAAATGCACATTTAGTGAATTCATTCACTCTAACACGGATGTCCTGATTGTGGCAATGAACAACATAACGTGTGAACTTTCACTTCACTGAGTAATAATCATTAAATAAGTATGTATAAAGTACAAATTTTAGACTCAGTTTAAAGGTGAATGTGAAATAAGTGTTTTTAATGTAATAAAAGAAGTATAGTATGTAGTTTCGTGAAAAATATAAACTGATTATCCTGACACCGATTAGGTCAAATAAATCGATAAGATTTTAAAGTCTAAATGCATTCACATTTTGTGATTTCCCTTCATATGTGCATTATATACACGCATGTAGTACAGCTATGGGAAACAGTTTAGTGATTAGACCGGTAATGTTATGCATAGTCATGGATTTTATAAAAGGCTAAAATGACCGAAGTTCAATTTAAGTCGACAGAGTTACTATTGTTGGGAAAACTGTCTAGAAAGTGACCATAACATTTTCAATTTGACTTAGATAATTATAATCTGCTCACAAATGAAAATTTCCTCTTCATCACATCGAATCCTGACTGAAAGGCAGCACTGTATATTACAATAGATGACTGGAACTCACAAAAATTCTAAGCAGCGTCTTAAAGACTATCATAAACTGCTGGAAATTTCCGAGATATAGAGAGTGTCCTATTCAAATTTCACTCCCCATCACGTAAACTACTCATATCAGTATTGCAGTCTTCATATTTGCTATATTGATGATGAAACATATCATATATCCTACGATGAAATCTACAATATTCAGAGTGGAAACCGTGATTAATCTTAAATTTCGCAAAATGTGTACTTCAATAAGATGCCCAATTTCATTTGATTAAAAAGAAACTTTCAAGAGTTGGTTTGTAAGGATTAGATTTGTTTTTTACGAGTTTGACCACGGATTGATGTCAGTTAGAGAAGCATTGAAAATCAGGGACTTCTACCAATTCATGGGCATTGAATAGGGTTTCAGTGGCTGAATGGTATACGAGCTAGCTTGCCTTGTAAGCAGAATATCCTGGGTTCGAACCCCAGTGGGTGAGTACTGCCGAGGATTCCCAAACTAGGATGAAACAGCTGTCTCGTACCCGAGTGCCGGTTTTCAATGGTTCTCTAACTTTTATTAGTCCGTGGTCAAACTCGCAAAAAATAACTGAAATAATTTTAATAAAAGGTCATTTTTGGCAAGAAAAAATGACTTTCCAGCAGCCACTATCCTCATTATTTTGTCCATAATACATTTATACTTCTTTTCTAATATTTGGCCTCTACCTCACATCGCACATGCCTACATGCAAAGACACACACACACACATACACATAAGCATGCTATTGTGTTACTCACAAAATCAACTATAGATTCCATATGCTGTATTTATTCCTTTTCGATAACAAACATAAAACAATCAAAAGTTCTGAGTATATCCATTCAGTCATTCTTTATCTCATATAGTCTGACTGATTGACTGATTTTAAACTACGTCGATTATCATTATTATTATTATTTTGTGGCCATATGTATAACTGAAAATACTGACACATTTATTTCTTCATTCAGTAGTATTCAAGTACTCCATGTATAGACTGTGTCACAATGACAATAGAATTGACGATGATAAATGATGAAGAATTTATTGTACTTTAAAACTATTCTCTCAATCTTTTGTGTATACCAACGTACACACAAATAGATCTGGTGGGTGAAAAATAGCCATCTGTTTGAAAATTATTCGTAATACGATTATTAATATTTGCTTATTTCCTTTAGTCAAAACGACATCCGTTATTTGTTGATTCACATTTCCTACCCTGGGTGTACTGGTGTGTTAGTGCACACAGAGCTGCCTTCTTCTATTTATTTTCCCTTTTGTTTAGTAATAGTGTGGTTAATATACTTTTGTTAGATTTCCTGTATACATATTCATGTACATGTCTACAAGATACTTAGGTGATCTTGTAAGATGTTAATCAAGTCAGCCACACGTCAATTTTTCTTTTTAATATAATACTGATCGTGTCTATAAAAGGTTATGTAACAGCAGGGAGGGGAAGAGGTTATTATCCATTTAGAATGTGATGCCAGATAAGTAAAAGCCTATTTATCAATACTCAATTATTCTTGCGTCGGTGGCACAGCTGTTAGGACGCTCGCCGACCATACACATGGTCTGGGGCTTGACCCCTGGCCGATACACACCTGATATCACTGGTGGGCCTGCCAAATTTGGGTTATCGATATCAAATTCTGAAAATTCCATAGCTGTAGCAAAAATACAGTGTGGAATCAAGCTATAAATAATAAATAAATTCATTAAGGTTGAAAACTGATATTCATGCACTGTAGTGTATATCTGGATGATCTGGAGTTAATTTGGCACTGAACATCAATAATATTGAATGAAACACAATTTACATTACGCCTAAAGAACAGATAATTCATTCATACGAGATCTCAATGTTATCATTATCCTAAACTCTAGTTGACACTGAATAAAATCCAACTAAATATTCACTAACAAGTTAACATTTAAAAAGTACAACAAAGTGTTATTGATGCTTACCTGATGTGTAACTAAATTTTTTGTACAATCATGTAGAAATAAAATAGGGATTTGAAATAATTTTGTTACAGACGAATTAATTTTTAATTCTTCTTTAGCTAATCGAACGCATAAATCAAGTACACGAATTGGCAAGGGATTAGCTAACGCTATCGGTGTAGTTGTTGAACGATCCAAAAAGAAAATTGGTGAGAATAGTACAGCTAAGCTTGTTTCATCCACTTCACAGTCTGGTTCATTTGCAACATTAGCCATTAATTCAAATAATGGTTTAATTATTTGATTAACTAAGCGTATTGGACATAGAAGAAATAGTAGACGGATAGCACGACGCTGGTGTACTTCATTCTCTTTAACACCACTTATTAGTTGAATAAACAATCGACGTAGTGGATTAGGTATTAACCCAATACCTTGTCTACGTAGAACACGAGCCAACAGACAAGCGATTACAGACGGATCATGTTCCAATAATATTTTGTTGATGTCATTCACTTCTGTTGAATTATTCACTTCATATTGAACTGAATTATTCTTTAACAGAGATACTGAAGACGTTGTTGATGAGGTAAAGGTTGTTGAAGCGGTGGAAGTGGGAACAGAAGATGAAAAGGAAGGAAATTGTGATGATGATGATGACGATGAAGACACTGAGGAGGGTCGTTGTTGATTGAATAAAGCTTTTTCCAAGTCATTTACACATGATTGATTTCCTGGGCGTCGAAATATAAACCGATGTTTGTCTAAATGTAGTAAAAACCAAAAAGAAAAATAGTCAAATGAAAATTCATCATGTCGCAAATAGAAAAACAATCATGTCATTTCATCTAAAAACTGATAACTATCCAAGGTTGAATAATTCTATCCGCTTACTCAGATGCTAGGCAGCTAGTAGATAAGGAAGAGGTGACGATTGCGGAAATCTTTTCACCCAATGATGAAAAATAGGACTTTAATGACAATACCATAAAAGCTGTGCAATCAATGGCAGTTCATACTGACGAGTTAATGAATAATTCAGTTAACTCTCAATGGCCGATATTACCAATGTCCAGCTGTAATGATATAGACCTACTGTTAATATATTTTCACATGAGTTCGCAGAATCCAGGCGTAATATTCAATTAAGTTGTTAAAAAATCTCTTAAATCCTTATGAATTGAATAACTTGTCGAATAGCTACTTGACATTTTTGGGCTGTGTAGCTGCCTATCTCTGCCTGTCTGTTTCTCCTGCAGATTTTCATACTTGACTAAATTAATGACATCTCATTTTATACATTAGTATATTAAGGCATTATTGTAGCATTAGGAATACAAAACATATCGACAGCACACACACACACACACTTACAGTGTTTATTTGAAAGGAGAAAACGAAGAATAGTATTGACAACAATATACCAATGGTCGATTTCATTGTCTTTGGAGGCTATACGAAAAGTTAAACAAAAAAGAGAGAAAAATGTAAACAAGAATATCAACATAGGACAAAAGTATGCATCTTTATAAGTGAATACATGGTCTTGGTGATAATAATAATAATAATAAAATGTTATCAGACTGATAATTTTTGCCCTGCTGACGGTTAAATTAACCGCTTAAATTTCTCTTATCGATGTGAATAAGAGATATTAAAACTGTTTAAACTTACTGTTTTGCTTTTGTTCTCTCAATCGACTAAGCATTTTTCTTGGAGTAGATTGTGTTTTGCTTCCAGTTGTATTGCTGGTATTGCTGTTGTTGTTACTTTCTAACCTACAACTGATATCTAGATTTTCTGATCCAGATGATGTTGACGAAGTCGGATAATAATGACTGTTAGGTTGTTTAGAATCTTTAATCAGCAAATCACGTATTTGATCCAGTTCATCTGAGGTGAATACCAAAAAGCCTAAATAATTTGTAATTAAAGCTAGGAAAGATGATGGCCAACGTCTTCGAAATTCATACATATCTTGATTTGGTTCAGTGATTAAAATATCCAGTTGTGTCGAATAAGAACAATTTGAAGTAGTTAGAAATGAAGTTGTTGGCGAGAAAGGCGTATCAGGGATTGATTCATTTGAAATATCATTTTGACGTCCAATCGATAAGGTTGTACGTGATGTAACTAATGGAGCAGGTACTGGCAAGACCTATAAGAATAAAAAAAAATATCGTTTACATGTGAAAAATTGCCGCAATCTGTGTTCTCATTCGTTTATAGTATAGAGAGAAGCATTTGTAAAATCTACTGGAGCTTGGCTGTAATCTATAGGAGTTAGCTAGTGCACATCCCTAAGGTGTCAGTTGCCTCGTGTTCCATCCCTAGTTAGGATTGTCAACTAGTTCCTCATAAATGATGCGTTTATTCCCTATTGAGTTTAAATATCGTCTGTTTCCATGCAAACATTCAGCAAATCACCCTATTTGTTAAATATTATAATTCCACCATACTTAACAACTACACAACCGAAATTTTATATATAAAAAAGTATTGATTAGAAATCTGTGAAGCAGCTGAGCTTATACACACACACACACATGCACAAATATATTTCCACTTGTGTGAATGAATAATGTAAGGGTTAAACAATGTGATATACAACAGTAAACTTAATGAAGGAAAAAACAAAAGAAGAAAATATCGATATAGTGATTTTATCAACATGTCAAAATATCACAATGTAATAAGTCTGAATGTGTGTTCACACGTGCATTTGAAGGCTAAACACACTGATTTTTCCAAAAAAAAAAAGAATTCAATCCATTAACTACAATCGCAAAAAAAAAGAAAATACAATGTCTGTCTTCAGCTTCATTTTTTCAGTAGTAAAGATAGAGACTAATTATCATTACTGATAGAATTAAACTGATAGTTGACCCAAAAGTTGTCACAAGTGGAACAGGTGAGTGCGAATAAAATAACTGACTGACCCTAACAGACAGGATAATGCATTCAACTTCAACGAAATAAATGATGTGACCGATATTTTTTTGTCTTCACGTGAACATATGGGTCCCTTGGAGAGATGTCTAGAACTGATGTCATTCATCATCTGATGGTAGTAACATTAAGTTAGAATATATATATATATATATAACAACACCTCCATAAAAAGACAATCCAGTGGATTGTACTGCATGTGTTTACTGGAATCATGTTTTGTTTCATTTCTTCATAAGAGAAATAATTATTTATCACACTGTTCTTCACTTATTATACAATGAAGCTAGGACCAATAGATCCACTTAATTGACTCATGGATTCGAATGTTTAGTAAAACCCACTTGCAAAACAACAGTTTTGACTAAGGCACAATCTTGTACACATCACATGAAACATACAGTAGACATATATGCCAAATAATTTGTCCACGGATATTCATTTCAGTATGATGCTAAGCTGACGGTGGATCATTAGTCTTCAGGAAAATAAACTATCTGTTAACCAATAAATGTATGGTATTATGCTTTTGCTTGTCATTACCAACTTTAAATAAGCGGCATGTTAACTATTCGTCATTCAACTGGACACAGGTATTTAGTTACTTAGTTAACACACTGACATTTTATTACCCGATAAAATCCCACGCATTAATGTCTACAGTTAGTTCAATTAAGAACGAATATCATCTGTTCTGTTTAGTTTCTACTATTATTATTATTATTAATTATGCAAATTATTATAATTATTCATTCATACTGGGATTACTCGGTTCATTAATTGAATAATCATCTTATTGACTAGTCGTCAGCTTAATAGACAAGATAAACCCTTTGACTAAACATGCACTGAATTAATGCCATAAACAGAAACAGATTGATCAGCTGTTTATTTATTCCGTTTTTTTTTTGTTAAATTTTAGTATCTAAGATTTACACATAGGAGAAATACACCATAAACAATCATGATAGAAACACAGTTCATCAAAATATTATAAATATCGACTCATTTCGAATTCATCTAGTAACAGATAGACACAGTCTAGCCTGGAGGATACTTCTGATTACTCACTGAAGACATTTTGAACAGATAAATAATGAAGCCAGTCGGATCAAGACAGTCAGACAGTCAAGTAAACAGACTAGTATAAGTGTGTTAGCAGATTAGATGGGACAGTGCATGAAAATTACGTAATAGATTGACAACTTAATTGATGGTCATTAAATGACAGATTTATTTGTATTTACAACGAAAAACACAGTTACCAAGACATCAAACATATGTCCATGCATAAATGTTACTGCTTAAATTGGAAACAAATGTCAGTTTATTTCCGTATGATTTCTACGCTTAGTAATCAATTCTTCTATTTCTATTTGTGACATTATTAGTTACAATAGTAAATGAAGACACAATACAAACACTAGACCGTATTAGAAGTTAACGGATAAAAGACATGACGACTACACCAAACTATGGAACCAAATGAAACATATTACCGTTCAGTCTACTAGTTTTCTACATTCTTCTATACTTATTAGTGAAATAAAATTGTCAAGACTGTATATAAGCGTAATTACATATATAAACTGTGTGAGAAATGATTTATGGTTTACGATGGAGAGTATTCCGTTCCCTCTTAGTGATGACACCTGGTGATTCTAGCAGTCCTTATTATTCTTTTATATTCCTTTACGTTCCCGGTGGAACACAGGCCTTCAAGCTACAGCTTTGAACATTCGGTAGCAGTGGCATCTATTTTCACGGGATGGGATTGTCAGCCTTATGCCCAACCTTCCCTCTTTATCAGTCTTATTACTGGACTGGCGAGGTAAAAGAGTGCATCGTTTGGGGATTGAACCCCAAACCAACTGTGTGGTTGGCGAGCATTCTACCGCTGTGCCACCGACGCCCTTATGATTCAGCGTCATCGATATAACATAAGAACCCGATGAAAACCAAATAATCTCTATAGCTTAAGCCTTAAATAAACTGGTGTTTAAGTCTCTGCAGTAGAACTGCTGTTCAGTTTCAGCCGGTGTAAACCTTTTTGACTAACCATAATGATTAAACAAAGACTAACTGGTATACATTTTACTAAATTGTTGTTTACGTCATATTCACCTGTTCAAACAATCCTGATTGCTTCAATTACAAGGAAAATCAATAAATTCACAGACCAAATAATTTAAAAAATTAACTGATCAATTAACTCACCCTTAATTGTGATGAACAGCTGCTAAACTTCCAATTAAATTTGTGATTAGATTTCATTGTTTTATTTATATCACCAAATGATCTACTCCGTCGGGCAATACGATTTCGACATGGTGCAAAAACGTTTAATAACTTTACTAATTTTTGTCCTGATGAACTTCTACGTTGTGACTGATGCTGTTTGTCTGAGTAGGTTTCATCAACTGATAATTGAAGAGATTCAATGGATAAGGAGGAGGATTTTGTATCATGTGTACTTTCAGTTGACAATTTTTCGACACTTGTCGCTCTACTTAAATATCCAGAGTCAGTATCGTCTGATTTCTCAGCATGATTAATAGTCATTTGTTGTTGCTGTTTAAATTTTTTTTTTGAATGTCCAGACATAACTCCTATCCGCGGACTCCGCATTAAATCGGAGCAAAGAGTCATCACAAATAACACTAAACCGTATGATTAATTCTACTAACTCAATTGCTTACTATATATTTACTTTAGGCTACAAATTTTAACCAATGAGATTTAAGTCCGTTTTCATACGCTAATACGTGTTAGCCAATCAAAATTTTTTATTTTAGGTGGGGATTTTTGTGTCATTTGTATGGATTACTGAATGACATGTGATTGAGATTTTTTCATGGCGAATTTTAGTGTGAAAAAATGAAACTGTATATCACCTTTATCAGTAGATATACTCACCGACACTCCCACTTTACACTGCATTTTACAAAAACGAAACATATCACAAAGTAGTAGATTTACAGTTTAGATCGTATTTAGATCTGTGAGGTACATAATATACTAATTCATTCATAGGTTCGTTTAGTTTATTTCATATTCGATATTTGGATCCCAAATAATTTCGTTCAATTAGAAATAGAAGTTTACACATTTGACTAATATCATTAGTAGAATCTTCCGATAACCTGCTGACATGGTAGTACGGTAACGGTGATAGAATAGATATTCCTTCGTAAACCTAAACATAAAAATCAGAACTCTGAATTTCTAATGACAAACAAGGATTTGCACAGCGAAAATGAGATAATTTATTCAGACTTGTGATTTTCCGTTAATATTTCTATGTTAAATAGATCTCCCTGACTGTGTTATATGGGTCGCTTGAAAGAATGCTAAGATTATTAACTTGTAGTGGTGAATACAGGTTTCAATTTTCAATGGGGATACAGCCCACTGAGGAGCAGACAAATTCAGGCGGTGGGTCCCAAACAGTATGAAATGTATATCCTGAATTACACCATGTAAAAAATGGCAAGTTTTCCCTAAAAAAGATCTAGAGAAAAAATATTCTGAACAGCACTTAATCAGTAACGGTCGTGCGTGTGTTACTTTTTTTCTTACTGTAACAGATACTGATTACATGAGGGAGTAACACAATGAAGACGATTCAGTCCTACCATACACTGATAAGGGACATATTACTAAGCGTATACTGGGAATTCTTTTTCTGGAAAATTGCAATACATAATCACAGTGTAAGAAGCAGTCGATAAAACAGAATAAAAAGGACCAACTGAAATTATGTTTTATGGAAGCTGATCCCACCTTTAATTACCTTTTATTTTTACCATTTTCTACGCCGATAAGTTAAGTAGTTATGACTGATGAAAAATAGAAAAGTTTATACAATCTCTGTTTCTATAGATTATTTTCACTTTGTCCGATAACCCTCAACATTTCTCATTCTCCTCTCACTTCCCCACTTTTTTTCTTCTGAAGACAGAATTCCCTTTATGTTGTAGACAGCTTTAAACAGTTTGCATTTGCAAAGTTGTAGCAAATTCTTGAATAGAAAAGTTTTTTCTTATGTGACTTCTTTTTTGATAAACTAATAGGCATTTCCCACTAGCTTCCATTTATCCACTGAAAGTGAAATGTCCCATTTGCATTAGTTCTTATACTCCACATTCAGTTTAATACCACAGCATAAGTATAGCACGAAATCGAAAGTGGACTTAAAGCTTAACCTTAACAATGGAAAGGTAGATGTATCGATTGAAGCGATGAATGATCATTAAAAATACAAGTGAAATACACAAATCTGAAATTGTCATCTAAGTCTCCTCCAAAAAAAAACGGGTAATTTACCGAATAGGTCTGCATTATTTTGATTGTGTTTCCACTCAGAAGCATCAAAATGTATTCTTTTATATCAACAGAAAAATAATGAGACAATCCATATACTTCTGTACTGCTTTATTCACCTGTCCGAAACTTCATGGAACTCCTCAGTGCATTGTCTTAGTCACACATTTGGATGATTACTTTCAATAATTCTCAATTGATTTCATCAAAAATTTGGTCTTCTAACAATCACTTGTTCAGCCCTGGCTACCCGATGAATATTAGTTTTAAAATTCCGAATTTAGACGATTTAACGGCTCTCCTTAAAATCAAATTAACATACAATATTTGAGATTATATCATACAAGTGTAATGGAATGGTACACAGATACCGTTATACAACTTTAAAAGTTCGGTTTCTTCATGAAGCAACATCATTTATAAAATTAATAAAAAACTACTGAGCCTTTGGAATCCAGTTCATCTTAATTGGATATCTATGAACCTAGAAGGAATCCAGCTTAGAACTGTGAAATGACTAAGTGATGAAGCAATCTTTCAGTCTGTCTGTGTTAGAATTCGATGGCCATTGATAGACCAGGATTCTATTACCTAAACTACAGGTTTTAACTTCACAACCCAGTGACAGTATTCTGTCACAGAGGGCTGCTTCAAATAGTCTCACCGTGAACCTTAATTGTTAGGTAAACAAGGATTTGACTGACTGGAAGGGTAGTTTCATCAAAAAGTCACTAGTCCAGCACCTCAGTTAATAAGTAGTAGGAGTTTATTATGACTGTTAGTGTTTTATCATTGTAATGAAGTTATTTCTAATATCTTTATAAATGATATAAACGTTAAGCTAAATACATAACGAAAAGAGTAAGACGTCAGTGGCTAAGATGACAATAGTTGCAGATCTTCACCTCTAATGTCTCATATAGTGGAATTATTTGATGATTGCTCACATAAATAGTATTCATGGGAAAGTTATTCTCTCCCCACTTCAACTCCCAAAAGCTAATAGATATGACCTCAATACATTATAATACTGGTGTACTTTTAAACGCCTTTATGATTAATCAGTTCATTTATCATACTGATCTCTCTCATTTTTTTCAAATTATTATAAGTTTATTTTTCAAAAAAAATTAATATGTAGTGTTTTTATTGATTTCAGGATAGATTTCATCACCGACCAATATCAGTTAGAGAACTTTTGAAAATCGTGTTATACTCCACAGCTGCTTCTTCGTCTTAGTATGGAACTCTTTGACTGGTGTCTTGTACTACTTGATTTTCAATGATTCATGAAATGATGCCTGTTCATGGTGATGTAGATGTAAGTACTACTATGGGGGTCATCTAGCCGCGGCTGGTGAATTAATTATTCATCACTATAAGTGTAGAGAATTTAGATAACAGTATTCAACAGTTATCATCTACATATTTTAAAATAAATCTCTTATATTAGATTACTAGTTAACTGTGGGTAGTTACAATGAAATCAACAAATCATTGGTAACTTCATTGGGCAATCGAGTTATAAGCACCTACTGCTGAAACTACATAACGAAGGAATATTACTGGGTGTATTGACTGAAGCGAGAATTCACCAGCCATTGGATGTAAGTACTCGCCTCGTCTGATGAAGGTGCAGATGTTGACTCCTCTTGGCATCATAGGTGTGCACTGCTAGACAGATTCATAATAGGACAAAACAGAAGTCTAATTTTTAGCGGTTCTGTAACTGCATGAGTTTGTAACGAGATCTACATTGAAAATATCTTACGCCTATGCAAAACTATTCCCAATTAAAATTAAATTATTCTCGCATAATTTTTATTATTTATGTATATATATATATATATATATATATCAGTGAGGGCGGAAGAAAGAGAGAGAAAGAAAGGGGAGTTAGTTCTTCTCATCAGTGGATATTTTTTTATTTTTTTTTACCATACAGATTTTGATGGAAAGCACAAAATTCGTTAGAGTGGTAGGCAACAGATTTCACTGTGAATTTCGTTTGGTGATATTTAGCACACTGGTAAGCCCCTCAAATGCAACACAGTAAATTCTGTTCTGCTTATAAACGCATGTGTTTCCATACTTTTTCAGCAATAGGCTTGCTGTTTTAACTCAGGGTTTGTTAACAAGATATGTGAAAACATATTGTTTCTCGAAAGATTTTTAGACAGGTTGGTAGTGGAAAAAATTCCAGTTAGAATGGAATGGTGCGTCGGTGGCATAGTGGTTAGGACGCTCGCCGACCATGAAAACATGGTCCGGGGTTCGATCCCCGGCCGGCGCACTCCTTTACCTCATTGAGCCAGAAATAATGCTGGTGAAGAGGAAAGGTTGGGCATGAGGCTAGCAACCCCATCCCGTAAAATAAACACTACTAAAGACACTTCAAGCCACTAGCTTGAAGCCCTATGTTCCACTGGGGAACGTGAAGGAAATAAAAAAAAGAATGGAATGGCTGTATAATTTGAAAATTCAAAACGAAATAATCTAGTCTAGATTCTTGGAGGCAATATTAGACTGCTTGAGATATTTTTCTATTCTCTAGGACATATTTCAATTAATAACGACTAACATTATATTATAGTGGCCTCAACTGCCTGTATATCTATTAAAATTTGTAGAACATGGGAGAACGTATGCACTTTTCTGTCACTATACATGTTGAATTTTTATGAATAAAGAGAAGCTGAATATCTTACAACAGCAGTGAATATTTCAACAGCCGAATTATGTTTTCTACCAGCTGGCTGTATAAAACGTGACTGATCAGTTGATTACAACTCAAACAACTTTTATCCGTCAACAGAGGTGATCTGTCCACTGCATCTCTCATACCTCATAAATTGCCTGACACTCTGATGTTGAGTAGGTTGATAGAATTCGTTACGAATATAAAAAAATTTGGAGCTAAAGACTACTGGATTGTTATGCTCATGTACTTAGAGTCTTGATAGTAATGAATATGCATAACTATGAGAAGGATTGGATCAAAGTTCGTTAGTTTATGAACTGTTGAAGTGTTCATATTCATCAATAATAAGTTGAAACAACATGACCAGTGATTACCCACCTTTGTCAGCCCATGATATAAGGCTACTACTATTTAGTATCATCAGTAGTAAATTGGAGCTACACACAATTCAGTAAGATCAACCGATCAAAATTTTGAGATAAAACAAAAAACAAACAAAAAAAACATTAGCTACTGACAAACAAATATTAGGAATTAAAAATTTGTTGATTAACAATGTCACTTGAACAGCGTATGAATAATTTTCAAATTCAAACAAAGTGATCTTCATTTTCTGAATTCTTTACATCTACGTACAATTTT